GGGGAGGGAAATGCGCCGGGGGGTGGGGGGAGATCGAGAGTCGGGGAGGGGAGGTTGTGCGGAAGCGGGATCGGGGTCGCGACGAAGGAGAAGAAGAAAAAGAAGAAGAAAATAAGAATAAGAAGAGAACGACGAGAACGAAGAAGAATACGAATAAAAGAATAAAAAAAATAAAAAGACAATTGTCCTCGATTACTTATCAGCACGGAGGTAGCAACGACGATGACGAGGATGGCACGGCGTGGTGACGAGGACGACAGGCACGGCGATGGCGACGTGGCACGACGACAACAATCGCGACGGTGACGATGATGACATGGCACCACGACGAAGATCATGACGATGACGATGATGATGTGGCACGACGACGGCGTTCATGATGATGATGTGGCACTACGACGACGATGACGTTGATGATGGCTAGTTGGTGACGACGAAGCAGTGTGGGTCGGGCGGGTTCGAACCACTCCGATACCAGTGTGACGAGCATAAGGCTGAGGGAGAGCCGAGGAAGAGGAGAGAGAGAGGGAGAGAGTAAGAGCACACACACACACACACTCACTCACTCGACACGACCGAGGGTCGGACGCAGACATAGTGGCAAGGCACAAAGTCGAAGTCTTGGATTCCGAATGCCGAAACAGCAAGTCACACTGAGTACGAGTACAACAACTGAAAACTGGTACAAGACTGGTCCCCATACTGAATGGGGAGCCGGTATAAGTACCGGTGACACGTACGGTACCAGGGGCATTTCTGCAAAAACCCCGAGGCCAAAACTGAAAAATGCGGTATTTGAAAGTTGCGCCCGAATTGGAGCATGGCGCCAGTTGTCCAAAATTTGACGGTACCAAAGGAGGGGTTTGGGGAAAAAGGGTGCCAGGCCGAAAAGTTTAACGGGATGCGGCAGAAACAGCAAAAAGATTGACCAGGGATCGAGTCCTGGCGGGGTCCATAACTGATAGAATAAAAAAATTCAAATTTAGAATGTAATTTTACTATAGAATGATTATTAAATTCTGGCAAATTTTTATGTTGAAAAATGTTACTTTATCTTTTACTATTTCCCATTGGATAGTGCGATCTGCTTGAACTTGTTGCTTAATTGCTTATATAACGATTGGGCCTTCTAGGCGGACTCCTTTAATCTCACTTGTGCATTTTTAAACCAGATTGCCCATAAAACTATTTTGCGATCTACTATGAACATATTTCTCTCGAAGGTGCTTGCCTGCTCTGGCTGCCAGATTCTGGGAAATTTTTATGTTGAAAAATGTTACTTTATCTTTTACTATTTCCCGTTGGATAGTGCGATCTGCTTGAACCTGTTGCTTAATTGCTTATATAACGATTGGGCCTTATAGGCGGACTCCTTTCATCTCATCTGTGCATCTTCTAAACCAGATTGCCAATTAAACTGCTTTGCTACCCACCGTAAACATATTTCTCTCGAAGGTGCTTGCCTGCCCTGGCGGCAATGGTTCATATAGAATTGGTTTCCAATCCCACGTCCAAGCGATGGTCGTGTCTAATTGCGTCCACACCCGGACCCACCACTTCCACATCCAGACCGACCCAGGGCACTGCAAAAAAATGTGTTCAATTGTCTTAGGTCTCCGCCTAGCTGAATATGTTGCCACACAAAATTTACACCGAGGGAGAGTCGTTCCGTTTTATTCCAGAGATGTGCATTCGATCAGCCAATCATTTGTGGGTAGGCAGCGGTGCTCCACTTACCACTGTAGAGAGGTGCGCTTGGCTGGTACCGATTTACTCAGTCTGAACCACTTGATTGGTTGGAAAGCGCTCTTTTCGACATTAAGGTGTTTCATTCAACGGTTTGTCACCACATCCTTCAGGTTCACCCTCGGGCATAGCATCTGGTA